TTTTATTCATCATATTTGTGGAGTGGTGCTTACTACCTGCAAGATACTTTGCTGGGTACTGAGAATGTGATGGTGAACAAGAGACAGCCCTTGCCCTCCAGGATCATAAAATCTAGGAGGCAAGGCAATAGGTTCATTGCTTCATCAAACATTACTTAAATACAATTATGATTAGAGGCACAAAGGAAAAAGGGCAAACTTCTATGAAACTGTGTGATAGGGAGTCTTGATCTAGTTAGTGGGACAAGATTGTGACTCACGAAGTAAAGTAAGCCCCAGGAGACCCATGTTGTGTACTGATGCTCACTCTGGTTGTGGGAAACCAGTGACTTTTTCCTGCAGTTTCCAAAAGTATTGGCTATATTTAGCATACTAACCCTCTTTTCCGGCTGACATTTTCCCATGGTGGCCTCAGCCAACCTCTTGACTTTCCTTATCCACCCTATCTCCACTTCCACCTTTCTTCTGAGCTCCAGGTTTCTAACTATGGATGAACATTTCCAATTTGGAGACACCTTAACCCTTAGAACCCACATATTCAGGGGGCAAACTCCTTACCCTCTTTACCACACCAGCTCTGACAGTGTCACCACTATGCTTTTAACCATTTAAGCAAACACCCAGCATTCGTTTTAACCAATGTGGACTTCATTATTGTTGATTCAAGGAAGCAGCTCATATTTTTCTCATCGTTGTTGTTTAGTCACTCAGTCGTGTCCAACTCTTTTGCGACCCCAGGGACTGTAGCCCACCAGGCTCCTCTGTCCGTGGGACTTTCTAGGCAAAAATACTGGAGTGGGTTGCCATTTGCTTCTCCCCGGGGGATCTTCCCAACCCATGGACTGAACCCACGTCTCCTGCATTGCAGAATTGTTTACTGCAGAGCCACTTGTCTACATTTTTCACATAGGATCTGAAATAGGTACACGTTACATTTGTTTGATTCATGTAGTTACTGAGGTTGAGTTTACTCATCCAATACCCACTCAGTGAATACTGTTTAAATAAGTGAGACCTGGGGAAGAGAAAAATTACAGGCTGTTCATTTAGTCTGGGTATTTTTGTTGTGTGTTTTATGTGCATTAACTCATTTGCTTCTCCCAGGACCTTTCTAGGCAGATATTGTTGCTTTTCATAGACAAGGAAATTGAGGCTAGTGTGTCTGGGTAGTGGATGACAATAGCATGTGAACTGAGTTTATTCCAACTTCAAAGACCATAGTGTCCTTTTACTAGGCATCACACTTCATACACTGTAAAGCATTCTCTAAACTTGTTATTATTATAAATATATTTTGGAAACAAAAGCTCTTTCAAATATTATGAATGCTTTTTCCTGAAATTTGTCAAATGAAAATCAGTGACTAATGAAATCAGATTTAATTACTTGAAGATGACTGTGTCTAACCTGCAGCATGTACTCAATAAATATTTGTCCTCTTTCATGGATTCAGATAGTCTCTATTTTGGTTTTCTTCGGATTTTTCCTTTTCCTTTCCATGCTCCACTCTGGATATTTTCTTCTTCTTCTTGTGGTTCAGTCACTCAGTCATGTCTGACTCTTTGTGACCTCATGGACTGCAGCACGCCAGGCTTCCCTGTCCTTCACCATCTCCTGGAGTTTTCTCAAACTCATGTCCATTGAGTTGGTGATGCCATCCAGCCATCTCATCCTCTCTTGGCCCCTTCTCCTCCTGCCTTCAGTCTTTCCCAGCATCAGAGTCTTTTCCACTGAGTCAGCTCTTCACATCAGAGGGCCAAAGTATTGGAACTTCAGCCTCAGCATCAGTTCTTCCAAAGAATATTCAGGGTTGATTTCCTTTAGGACTGATCTCCTTGCTGTCCAAAGGACTCACAAGAGTCTTCTCCAACACCACAGCTTGAAAGCATCAATTCTTCGGTGCTCAGCCTTCTTTATGGTCCAACTCTCACATCCATACATGACCACTGGAAAAACCATAGCTTTGACTATATGGACCTTTGTTGGCAAAGTAATGTCTCTGCTTTTTAATATGCTGTCTAGGTTTGTCATAGCTTTTCTTCCTAGGAGTAAGCATCTTTTAATTTCATATTAAATTTTTTTCTACTGAAACATCTTCCAGAACACTAATTCTCTCTTCAACTGGGTTTATTCTGCTGTAAATCCATCTGTAGCATTCTTAATTTCTTCAATTACACTGTATCTTATAGTTCTAAAATTTCAATCTAATTTTTAAAATACATGGATTTCAGTGTTTGCTAAGGTTTTCATCTTGTCATCTATTTTCTTAAACATGCTCTTCAGTGATTTTTAGCCTAAGTCTAATAATGTTTAATAACCCCACTATCTGGATCACCAGTGAGATGATTACTATGGTCTGATTTTATTTTCTTCTTGGTCTTGGTAGTTTTTAATTGGATCTTGGTTATTATAAATGAAAAACTGGGGAGGCTCTTGATGACATATTCTTTCACAGAGGCTTTTTTTTCTTAAGCTTCTGGCAGGCAGGCAAAGTTTTAGAGTAGGAGCAGATCATTTTAATTCAACCATAGAAGGTGAAGCTCTTCAACTGAACAATTGGAGCATATGTAAAGGCTTCTTTGCTTTGATGGGTTCTTCATTCCAATGATGTCTCCTTATTAGTGGTGAGAGCTCTGCTTGGTTTACCATCCCTCTAGCAGATGTTTTTTTGCTCTGCTCCTCTCTTTTCTGTGAAGTTTACAAATCAGCAAATGCCTAAGTGGTGGTTGGGGAGACTCTGTCGGGCAGCTTCAGGTTTCCCTACCCTGGGAACTTGGCCTTTTGGGTTTTGGTTGTCTTAGTAACTCTGATACCTTCAAAGTGAATTTTTTGTTTGTTTTAAAGTTTTGTCAAGGTTTTCTATTTGCCTGTCTATCATTGCTAGAAGGTGTTACCTATTTTTTAAAAAGTCTTAAAATTTAATTAAAGCTGGATTTTGATTCATCAGATTGTGCCAGAAACAGGTGCCATTCAGATGCACAGGTGAGAGATCTGTTTGGGTTGTAGTCTAGTGTGCTATGGGCTCCCCAGGTGGTGCTAGTGGTAAAGAACCCACCTACCAGACCCTGGAGATCCTGGTTTGATCCCTAGGTTGGGAAGATCCCCTGGAGGAGGGAATGGCAACCTACTGTAGTATTCTTGCCTGGGAAGTCCCATGGACAGAGGAGCCTGGTACAGTCCACAGGGTGGCAGAGAGTCAGACACGACTGGAGTGACTTCACACACCTGCTCATGTGCTACATGTTCGGCCCACAGGAATCTTTGACTTTTCGCTCATCATAACGTTTGCTTTGCATTCTAAGAAGGTAACCCCAAAATGAGTGAATTGAATATTATATACTTTATCAGATGTAGAATGGTAGGTTTATTTAGCAGGAAATGAGCTTAAATAAATGATAGAGACAAGAGTCACTCAGGCTCCGATTTCTAGTTTGGTCTCCCAGACAGTAACGAAGGGCAGTAATTCTTCCACAGGGAAAGGGAAAACTATGATGATTTCTAGCGGGCTCACCATGCTGGTATTTTTAGTGTATGTTGTCTTTTTAAAGGTTTGCAACTTTGAGGGGCGTGGTAACACTTTGAAGTGTTTTCAGTGCCGTTTCTCTGTGCGTGTGTCTGTGTGTTGATAACATGTGTGCACCACACACAGAGTACACAGCATTGTCTATGTGCCCTCTGATCTCTCATAGGCATTGAGTGCAAAAACATGAGTTCTCCTCCATCTCAACTTCTAGGAAAGTGAAGAAAATGTAAACCAGAGGTTGCCAGGAGTTTATGGCTGTAAGATTTCATCACCTTGCTATCCTACCTGGAACAGATGGATCTGTCCCCATCTATTTGATTTTCTGCTTCCTACTCTGCCAGCACTGAACCTGAATCCTGAAGGAGGCCAAGACAAATTCCTTGTGATAATTTTGAGGGAGGAGCCCCAACTCTTTGGGGAGCAGAAGTTGGCATGAATGCTTTCCTTCAGAGGCTGGTTTTTCCCATTTGAGCTTACTGACTGGCCTCTTCCTTTCCTCTCCCCCCTTCTCTTGTTTTTATTATTGTTAGTGGGATTACAAATCAAGTGGATGATGGTGTTTCTAGGAAACCGGAGTTTTGTTGTATGGAAAGTCAAAGACACGTGAAAAATGAAAGATCACTAGAAAAAATTAAACAGCAACAGAAGTTAGTAAAAGAGGAAGTACGACATGGAGAATACAGGTTCTGCTGTAGAAATCTGATGAGAGGGGGGCACTCGACCGGAGTCACATGGAAGAGTCTGTGGACTTGAGAATTAGGAATTGAGGATTAGGATTTAGAGTTGGCAAGGCACGGGGTGGCCATCTCTGTCGGGGAGACTAGATTACAAAAGGCTTGGGTTCGGGAAGAAGCAAGGTGAGCTTAGGACTCCAGAGTGTCGTATAAGACCATAGGGAAGACATGGGGGAGATGAAGTCCTACTATGGAGAGCCTCAAAGTCCATTTGCTGGTTGTGTTTGGACATCCTACAAACAAAGAGGGGACCCTCCAAGGTCTGCAAGGGGGTGTACAGTGATGCTTATTTTAGGAAGGTTGAGTCAACAGGTGTAGAATGAGTTGGGAAGGGTGATCCTGTAGGCATGTCTGTGACCCCAGTGAGTGTGGTGAGGGTTGGTGACTTGAAGAGGCAGATTGGAGCGTGCTTTTTTTAAAGAACACTGGTGAAGGATTGGCTTTGAATAGAGGCTGTTGGCACTTTATGCAAATGAAAATTATGTGCATTTGAAGTAGTATAATGTAAAAATATTGACAAAAATTATTTTATAGGAACATTTTTGAAATGACCCCAAACCCTTTTTTCTCACTTGTGACAGTCACCTCTCTTGGTCTAGCTTCTATACTTTACAAAATGGATCTATTCACGTGAAAAACAGTTTTTTAGTAAGAAGAATCTGACTCTTCTGTTAACTTGTAATATAAGTTTAGAGAGTTATTCTCATGAAAAAAAAAAAAAAAACAACCCTAATGGAATTCCCTTGTGCCTTTAAGAGGAGGAGCTGGGATGGGATGGGTCTGACCTCCCTGGGGTGGATGCTCATGGCCTGACATGAGCTGGTGCGGTGTTCCTCTGGCTGGCATTCTCCTTTCTTGGGAGCATTGTCCTCATTCCTAACTCTAGAATGTCTGTTCCATTGTGATGGTGCCTGGGTAGATGCCAATCAGGAAACGTCATGTCCCACAGGGTGTCTGAGTGAGCCACTCTCTCACATGCATTACTGCTGTAGTTTGTTCTGGATGAGCATTTCCTGAACTGTGGGCCATGGCACTCTCTTCTTTTGTCAGGAAAGGAGTTCTTGCAGAATTCAGTTTGAGAAATGCTGCATACTTGCCTTGAGTTTTCTCTGAAGATCATGGTGCCCATTAGTACCTTCATGGCTCTGAGAAGTTGGGCAAACCAAGAAACTGGCTGAACATTGTTGAATGCAGTGTTCCCTATACTTCTTTGCCCATGGAACACTGCTTGTACATTACACTTAGTCACACCGGAATCCAGTTCTTCCAGGTGGCCTCTCCGAGAGCAGCAGAGTCCCTTCAGTGGATCAGCAAGTGAATGTAAGGTCCCGCTCTGCACTGTCACAGTGCAGGGGATTTACACCTATTCTTGCTTTCTAAACTCAGAACAGCCCTCCCAAATCTGAGGAAACTGAAGCTCAGATGAGTTGGGGCACCTGTCTAAAGCGACACAGTTAGGAGTGACAGGGCTAGAACTGGAGTCCAGCTCAACCCAAATCCAGGGTGGGACACCTCTGCTAGCTCTCTGGAGAGTTTTGGGTCCTCTTGATAAAACAGCAGCTGCTTCATTCAGAGGTTTTCACCACTTAAATACAAATATCTCTGTTGGTAAATAGACATCTCACGTATTTTCAGAGGTGACCTATTTCACTGTGGTCAGAAGTCTTGAACCAGGTGAATGTGTCATGGTTTCTTTTCAGCATTTTCTTATGGGAGAGGACCTGAGTACCAGTGCCCGCCCACTGACTCCTCTCTGCCTTTGGACTGAGCCGTGTGGATTCTCCAAGACTTGTCCATTCAGCCCTCAACATCCTGCTCTCATTCTTCAGAAACTGGTGTCCTGCCCATCCTCATGGAGCCTCCACTGTGTCCTCAGGCCCTTCTCTGTGAGTGATAGTTTGAAACAGTGAGAGGAACATCGTCACCTCCCAGGCATCCTGAATGTTTTGATATAAGACAACGAACAGGGACATGCAGATTGTTATCTGATTTTCCAGTTGCTTGAAAGGTTGCAGGATGTTCAGATGGGCCCCGGAATTTCTGACTTGCTCAGAAAGTTTCAGTTTTTCTTGTTCCGGCTTCTTCTTACCAGTGTTGGTCCACACTTGGCCAGGAGGTCAGGCAGCCAGATTGGCTTCCTGCGTTGTCGAGTCTGTTCTGTGTGCACTTATGGAGCAAGTGCTTGTTCATTCATCTTTTTCCCCTCAGTTTCCCCTTACTAGTCAAGAAGTGGAAGGTTGTCTACCTTGCCCCCCTAAGTATCTTAGGATAGAGTTAGGTGTGAGCAGTTTTCTTCTAGCAGTTAGGCAGGGCCATTTAAGTCATTTGCGTCTAATTCTGTTGTTGTTTTTGCTGTTAGTCGCTCAGTCGTTTCTCTTTGCGGCCCCATGGACTGTGGCCCACCAGGCTCTTCTGTCCATGGGATTTTCCAGAAACAAGAATACTAGAGTGGGTTGCCTTTCCCTTCTCCAAAGGATCTTCCCAACCTTGGTATCGAACCCGAGTCTCCTGCCCTAGAGACAGATTCTTTACCGTCTGAGCCACCAGGGAAACATGTTCTGTTAGTAACAGTTAATTAATTTTAAAGACTTAGCAACTAAACAGATGAGAGGAAATGTTCCATCTTGTTTAAGACTTGGTCTTTCAGTCAGTTTTGTTGAAAGGGAGGGAAAAGGAGAATAACCCCAAAATGAAATCCACAGGTTATCTCCAGCCTCTGAGTCATCCAGCCCGCTAATATTCACTTATTGCTCGTTGGCAACATGCAGAGCACTGTGTGAGATCTTGGACATCAAAAAATCATCTCATCAGATCTTCCAAATCAGTTTGCGTGCTCTGTATGTGAACGTGGACCCTCCTGGGATGTCAAAAGGAGCTCCTTCCTTGGGGCAGATGTGCTGTGTACTGTCATCAAGCAAGGTGAGTTACGTGTTCTCATACTTAAATCTCAAAACATCCCCATGTGACTGATCTGAGCAAACTCAGGCTCAGAAGAGTTAGGGAGCTCATCTAAAGTTATATGGGACATGGCAGGGTCCAAACTGGAGCCCAGATCAACCCTGAGTCCACTGTGGGATCCCATTGTCCCTTTTCTTATGTGGTGGGATTGGATTCAGAACCTTCTTCCCTGGAGTCTTCTAGATGTGCTCTGGGGGAGGAAAGCCTTCTGTTGGAGCTTCAGGGCAGTTGGAATCAGGGGCTGTGTGTAGTAAGATCCTTTCCTTCATTAAAAATATCTTTTACATTTGCTGCATCAGTTTTTCCTGGAAAATTGGAGGTGGTTAAGAGCTCGTAGATCCTTTTAGCCAGCTTTATTAGCTTCAGTGCTCTGGACCAGCTGCATTTTATCAAGTACAGATGCCCAGTGCTGTCCCCAGAAGTCCTTGTCTTGGGAATGTCTGCTTTTGCAAAGCTCCACGGGATTCCGGCATACACACAAGTTTGAGAACCAGTGGACCTGCGGTGACTCATTCTGGCCCTTTAACTCATTACTGCTCATCCAGGCTTCCTCCCCACCCTTATCTTAGTTTTCTGAGACATCACATGGGTGAAGAGGCATTGGGCACATGAGTTTTAATTATGTATGACTATGGAGCCTTTATCTGACAACCGCTGGTGTCTAATTTCCACCTCAGCTTTGAATTCAGTCATCTCTCTGACCCCCAGTTTAACACTTATTTTTCAAAGGATGCTCATGCTCTTATTTAATTCTGTGCATTTAGTAAGATGTTTGGGCATTTTATCTTTTTTTGACTTTTATTTTTAAAAATTTATTTATTTTTAATTGGAGGATAGTTACTTTGAGTATAGTGTTGGTTTCTGTCATACACCAACATCAATCAACCATGGATAATACATATGTCGTCTCCCTCTTGAACCTCCTTCCCACCTCCCATCCCATCCCCCCCCCTTCTAGATTATCACAGACTACCTGCATCATACAGCAAATTCTCACTGGCTGTCTGTTTTACATTTTGTAATGTGTATGTTCCAATGCCACTCTCCCAGTTTGTCCCATCTTCTCCTTCTCACACTGTGTCCACAAGTCTGTTCTTTAGGTCTATGTCTCCTTTGCTGGGCATTTTATCTTTATCAGTGACTTGGAGATGGTGAAATGATTAGGTTTTAAGTTTCTCCTCCGCAAGTGATAGCCTCATGAATAAGCTATGACTCCTTTCGCTCACCAGGCACTTCGATACTGCCCTGCACTCTCTAACTTGCCTTTGCGAATTGGGGCTGTAGAAATTAAAATTCCTCATGGCATGGGGGATATCCTCAAGCCCTTTGACTTGTAACTATACCATCTAGTGATGGTCCAAGGAACATGCTGGCTTTCTCAGAACTGGTGTTATCAGGGTGTAGTTTTGCTTGAATCTTTCCTGGGTTGATTTTGCCACAGTTGAACTCTTTCAAAGCGACCTGAATAATAGTTAACCCTTGTTCGTAAATTGCTATGTACCAGCTGTGGAGATGAGGTTCCATCCTTGGCTTGCTTTGGGTAAACCAGAGTTTTAGTTTTGGTCTGTGTCTTCTCTGACTTGGGTGGCCTTTTTTCTCATTTATTTTTATTAGTTGGAGGNTTGCTGGGTCATATGGCAGTTCTATTTCCAGTTTTTCAAGAAATCTCCACACTGTTCTCCATAGCAGCTGTACTAGTTTGCATTCCCACCAACAGTATAAGAGGGTTCCCTTTTCTCCACACCCTCTCCAAACAAGAGACCACCTCCACCCACCTGTGTCAGGGCAGAAATTAGACACTGATTGGGTGGCCTTCATGCATTCGCTTGGTAATGGGTTGTCTCCACCCAGTGTAACTCCTCATCCCTGTTGACAGCTGTACGCTGTCAGATTTTAGCTGACGCTCCTTTGAGTGCCATCTACACAGTTGGATGTTGGTAGGACACTTTGGGGTGGCCTGTCTGAATTAGCTATAGCAAGGGCTGCATCTTAGCTCCTGACATTTCCAGGGCTGGTGTCTTTTATCAGATTGAAGGTTGTGGGTATGTTCATGAGTGTCCTCAGGGCTCAGGGCAGGGCTCCAAGTCAAGGCACAGCTGCTTGGCTGCTGGCATGGGCTCAGAGGACCTTGCTGTCCCTCTCCACTCACCCCCAGGCCCTGTGTTGCCTGGGTGCCTGTTCCTCCCCAGGCCCCAAAGCGGGGGCAAAGGTCAGGAGACTGAGTGAGAAATTGTGTTTATCCTTTCTGTTAATTACCCCAAAGTTTCTACAAACAAGTTTACTAATCTTGCTGCAGGATGAGGGTAGGAGCGGTTTGTTGTTATTCAGTTGCTAAGTTGTGTCTGACTCTTTGCGATCCCATGGGCAGCAGCATGCCAGGCTTCCCTGTCCTTCAGTGTCTCCCAGAGTCTGCTGAAACTCAGGTTCATTGAGTCGGATTCCATCCAACCATCTCATCCCCTGTTGCCCCTTCTCCTGCCCTCAATCTTTTCCAGCATCAAGGTCTTTTCTGATGAGTTGGCTCTTCTCATCAGGTGGCCATAATATTGGACCTTTAGCTTCAACATAAGTTTTTCCAGTAAAATTCAGGGTTAGTTTCCTTTAGGAATGACTGGTTTGATCTCCTTGCTGTCCAAGAAACTATCAGCAGTTTACCAAGCCTCAGATTTTCTGAGGAATCAAGGACAGTAGGAATTTGTGGAGTTCCCATGCACTGGGAACTAGATCTAGCAGGACTTGACTTGCCTGGGCTCTGACTTTAAATGGTTTCTCATGGTTAGGATAAAGAACAAACAAACTTACTCACTCCCGATGCTTGGGCCAACTCTGTTCACCTCTCTGCACTTCTGTGTGTGGCATGTGCTTGCAGAATCATTTAGTTCAGAACTCTGCTACCTGAAATTCCTGGTTGGGTTACTTCTGTCTGTAAAGCAAGGATTCAGTGAATGTAATTTGGGAATTTAGCTTCAGGTGGTTGTTAAGGTTTTTGGTGATATTCCTGGAAAAGACACATAAATAGAAATGACTTAAGTTCTATTTTCTCATGGAAATAAGGTTTTTCAAGGGACTATCTTGGATCTCTCTTTTAGCTTCTCCACTTGAAATAACTTTAAATGACTACAAAATTTATAGTTCACTTTCTTATGGAAATGATCACAATACTACATTTAATCAAAGGGCCTTAGCTCTAGGCAATGTCATTTTAACATGGTGTCTAACAAGATGTATTGCTGACAGTGAGCTCAGAAATAAATTCTTTTGGCTGATGTCTTTATTCTCAAATTAAAACAATTTTTTTTTCTTTCTAATGGTAGCTGGCATTGAGATCCTGGCATGACCCACATCCATCTGATGTTGTATGATAGAGAAACAATAAAGCTTGAATCTTGACATCTAGCAAGACCTTGGATGAGTAAAAGCATGTCATGTTTGTTAATACTTCAGAAAAATCAAACTGTTCACTATGATAGAAATCAGTGGATAGGATTTTGGTGGCAGGGAAGTTTCTGCGAGTAAACAATGCAGTATTCAAACTGAGGAAGTCTCTGGTGGAGCCCATGAACCCTTTGAAGACAAGAGTCAAGATGGCAGAATTCTGTAGAGTCCTGGCCAATCACAGTGTAACCACTTCATCCTGTGTTGGTGAGGCTAAAGGGGGTTTGCCTGCACAGCTTTCAAAAGTACATGTAAAAAAAAAAAAAAACCACAAAAGTACATGTCAGCTGGGATTTCCCTAGAGGTTCAGTGGTTAACACTCTGTGCTTCCACTGAGGGGGCACAGGTTCAATCCAGTGTCAGAGATCTAAGTATGTATGCAGCAATTAAGATGGAATCAACTCAGGTAAACTTTTGTTCCACATGGTGCATGCTGTGGACTGCTATGCACTGTTGACATTATTTTACTGGGACAAATTAGAAGGAGGTGTGAATTTCAAAAGGATCTCTTTTGGCGAGCTTATCATAGGTACCTTAGACGAATTTTTTAGTTCTGCTTGCTTAATGGTCTTCTGAGAAGTCAAGACAGAGCTCTCTGTTTTATTATTACTTTTCATTCAGAGCAAAATTTCTCCAAATCCCTGTGGTGATAATAGTTTTGAAGATGGTTTGTTTCCTGACCAAACACAGATAACAGGTACTCAGCCACTGGGTTTCCTATTGAGGTCAAGATTGTGCTGTAATTCTTTCAAACTAGTCAGGCAGCATCTTTTGGTTTGGGTGACACCTGCCCATTTCTTCACCATTTATGAAAGACATCTTTCTAGCACTAATGCTTTATTTAAGGATATCTTTATGGGAGATAGCTTAGTGTTTTTCCAAAGGATTGACACATCGACATTCTTTTGCTTGTTTAAGAACCTGCTGGATATTAAGATGCAAGTCTTTAGAGAACAAACTTATGGTTACCAGTGGGGAAGGATGGTTGGAAGGGCTAGTTAGGGAGTTTGGGATTGACATATACACACTGCCATATTTAAAATGGAAAACCAACAGTAGGATGGATAACTTACTGTATAGCACAGGGAGCTCTGTTCAATTTTATGTGGCAGCCTGGATGGGAGGGGAGGGTGGGGGAGAATGGATACATGTATATTATAGCTGAGTCCTTTTGCTGTCTATCAGAAACTATCACAACATTGTTAATCAGCTATACTCCAATATAAAATAAAAAGTTTAAGAAAGATGGAAGTCTTATGATGTCTCTATTAAACCTAAAGCACAGTTACTGATTAGCTGGGAGAGGGATGGTTAGGTGGAAACTTGCCTGTCAGCAATGGGAATGTGATTTTTCTAGTCCCCCTTGAGCTATGCACTGTTGACATTATTTTACTGGGACAAATTAGAAGGAGGTGTGAATTTCAAAAGGATCTCTTTTGGCGAGCTTATCATAGGTACCTTAGACGAATTTTTTAGTTCTGCTTGCTTAATGGTCTTCTGAGAAGTCAAGACAGAGCTCTCTGTTTTATTATTACTTTTCATTCAGAGCAAAATTTCTCCAAATCCCTGTGGTGATAATAGTTTTGAAGATGGTTTGTTTCCTGACCAAACACAGATAACAGGTACTCAGCCACTGGGTTTCCTATTGAGGTCAAGATTGTGCTGTAATTCTTTCAAACTAGTCAGGCAGCATCTTTTGGTTTGGGTGACACCTGCCCATTTCTTCACCATTTATGAAAGACATCTTTCTAGCACTAATGCTTTATTTAAGGATATCTTTATGGGAGATAGCTTAGTGTTTTTCCAAAGGATTGACACATCGACATTCTTTTGCTTGTTTAAGAACCTGCTGGATATTAAGATGCAAGTCTTTAGAGAACAAACTTATGGTTACCAGTGGGGAAGGATGGTTGGAAGGGCTAGTTAGGGAGTTTGGGATTGACATATACACACTGCCATATTTAAAATGGAAAACCAACAGTAGGATGGATAACTTACTGTATAGCACAGGGAGCTCTGTTCAATTTTATGTGGCAGCCTGGATGGGAGGGGAGGGTGGGGGAGAATGGATACATGTATATTATAGCTGAGTCCTTTTGCTGTCTATCAGAAACTATCACAACATTGTTAATCAGCTATACTCCAATATAAAATAAAAAGTTTAAGAAAGATGGAAGTCTTATGATGTCTCTATTAAACCTAAAGCACAGTTACTGATTAGCTGGGAGGGGGATGGTTAGGTGGAAACTTGCCTGTCAGCAATGGGAATGTGATTTTTCTAGTCCCCCTTGTTTCCTTCAGTAGTACCAGCATCTTTTGTGGGTGGTCCAGACTGGATTCTTCCATTTCAAACCTTCTCACGAAAACTCACCACCTCCATCGGGTTTACTGAACAGCTGGACATTTTGTAGTTAATCTCCCCTCTATGCTTGTGAGTGTGTAGCAAGTGTTAGAATTATTCTGGGTGGCTCACAGGGAATTTGAGTTGAAGTTCAACACACCAGAGATGTGTTTTGACATGACACACCTCTTTCAAGCTTTTGCATATTTACTCATACCAGTTGGCACCCATTTCCTTTGCCATCTTTCTATGAACTGGGTTACCTAGAAAGGTTTGACTCTCAGTGGCCTGGTGGGGTGTGGCATCTGTTTAGGTAAATGCTTAGCACACAGGGTATAAATCTGCTCTTTTCCCTGGTGAACAAGCAGATCCCTTTCTCAGAAACATGCAGCAGACAAATATGTAGCACAGGCCCAGAACTTTGGACCTGGGAGGATCGCAGAACTCAGCCTCATAGCCTTTCTGTGTCAGGTGAGAATTTACAACAAGGATTTTGCCAATTTGTTAGGGGCTGAATTGAGTCCTGAAATTCATGTGTTGAAGCCCTAGTCCCCAGTACCTCAGAATGTGACTGTGTTTGGAGATAGAACCTTAAAAGAGATGGACATAAGGTAAAATAAGGCCATGTGGTGAGCCCTAGTCCAGTAGCCTGGTGTCCTTATAAGGAATGGAGGTTAAGTCATATGTAGCAGTGTCGATGGACCTACAGTCTGTCATGCAGAGTGAAGTAAATCAGAAAGAGGAATGCAAATGTCATATATTAATGCATATATATGGAATCTGGAAAACAGAAGATGAACCTGTTTTCAGGGCAAGAGTAGAGACCCAGACATAGAGGACGGATGTGTGGACACAGGGAAGGAGAGGATGGGACAAATTGAAAGAGTAGCATTGATAGTATATGCTACCATGTGTAAAATGGTATAAAGATGGGTTTCTCTGGTTGCTCAGCAATAAAGAATATGCCTGCAATGCAGGAACCACAGGAGATGCGGGTTTGATCCCTGGGTTGGAAAGATCCCTTGGAAGAGGGCAGGCAACCTGTTCTAGTATTCTTGCCTGGAGAGTCCCATGGACAGAGGAGCCTGGCAGGCTACAGTCCATAGAGTTGCAAAGAGTTGGACACGACTGAAGCCGCTGAGCACATGTGTAAAACAGCTAGTGGGGAGATGTTCTACAACACAGGAGCTCAGCTCGCTGCTCTGTGATGACCCAGAGGGGTGGGATAGAGGTGGGTGGGAGAGAGGTTCAAGAGGGAGTGGATATGCATATACTTATGGTTGATTCACTTTGTTGTACAACAGAAACCAATGCAACATTGTAATGCAATTATGCTCCAATAAAAATAATAATAAAAAAGCAAATGGGAGTTAAGACACAGATATATACAAAGGGAAGACCATGTGAGGACACGGGGAGAAATTGGCCATCTACAAGCCAAGGAGAGAGGCCTCAGAAGAAACCAACCCTGCTGACATCTTTACCTCAGACTTCCAGTCTCCAGAACTGTGAGACAATAAATGTCTGCTGTGTAGGCTGCCTAGGCTGTGGTGTTTTGTCATGGTGCCCCTGGCCACTCAATATATACCCTGCTAGGCAGTCTTTGCTGCCAGAAGGAAAGCAAAGTATCTTTTGGAGATATTTGGCTCAAACTAGAATACAAATTCTTAAAGAAATGAATTGCTGGAAAACCAAACCCACCTCTCCTGGTAGTGATAGCTTCATAGACAGGACCTCTGCTCTCCTCAAGGGGCCCTCAGGAATCACAGAAAAGCCCACCAGTGTCCAGACTGACTAACGGGGTCTCGACAGTTCTGCTTGTCCGCTTGTGACTTGTTCCCTTTTGTTTGCCCCCAGGACTGGGGGCTCACAGTCCTCCTGTTACAGAATGTTGAGGACCTGGATCGCCGCCTGAGGCGCGGCAGTTGGTTTTTGCAAATGAGATGAGGCACTTCCAAGTGGAAACCATTTCTAATAGAAAGTCCCAAAACGGTCTAAACAGATAAGCCCTTTTAAGGCGTTTCATGATTTATCTTCAGGGTGTCTTTGAGAATTATGTTGTTGGTCAGTTTAAAGTGCATGATTAAGACTTTTTCTAATTAAATAAAAATTTACAAATGAATTGAACACCAGTATAACCGATTTGCTAGAAAATAGGCCTTACTTTCTAGTACTTTATTCCCCACCATATGCTGGATTTTAAAGGTGAGAGAGAATTTCAGTCTAATCAAGGTAGCTGGCTTCCAGGGGAAGCATGTAGACAGGTTCCATTGTTAGGCCTTTTTTGATATTAATGTAAACATTTTTTTCTGTGACTTATGTGCAGATTTCCCCTTTCCAGAGAATTTTTTTTCAGCACACAGAGGACTGTTTTTACAGGACACTGGAAAAATGAAAAGCAAAAGAAAAAGTCAAGCAGAAAGGCCTGGAAGTTTCCTATAATCTGGAGGATGATTTGTGGGTATATGCATTAGGGAGAGAAGAAAGGAAGGAAGGAAGGAAGGAAGGGGAGACTGAAGTGTGGAGAAGAACCTGGAACAGGAGTCAGGATGCTGTTGTTGTGAACACACTGAACTCCCAGGCATGTTCATTACCTGTTCCCCATCTGTCCCACCTTCATCATCCCCTCTCAGCTCACAAGGTTGTTGGTGAGATTGAAAGGAAAGAGTGTGAA